TGTGTCAGAGAGTTCTCACGGTCAGTGGTCCCACGGTGCTGTGTGTCAGACAGTTCTCACGGTCAGTGGTCCCACGATGCTCACCGTGTGTCAGACAGCTCTCACGGTCAGTGGTCTGACAGTGCTCAGTGAGATAATGACCTGGAAGTCTACTAACCACCCATTTAATTTTCACAGGGCCTGCTGGCATGGCACCATCATCACCCCATTTTTGTTCTCTATGCTGCTTGTTCAGGTACAGCAAGGACTGTGAGCTTGGACAGGCAGTGTTTCATTCGGTTGTACATAAGGTCGCTGTGAGTTGGAGATGACTTGATGGCACCTAACAACAACAAGTGCTGCTTTAATACAAAGAGCACAAATGGCTTTAACAAACAGGAGTTTATTCTCTTACAGTTTCGGAGGCTGGAAGTCTGAGTTCAAAGTGCCAGCTCTAGGGGCTGGGTGAAGGCCCCTCGACCTTGGAGCTGGAGGCATCTCTTCACTCAGGCAGCTGCTGGCTGCCGAGGCTGATAAACCCAAGGTCCACAAGTAAAATGCCACTAGTTCAAGTCCAGAGACAGTCCCGAGATCAGTAGGCAACATGGCAGGCTGCTGACTGAAGACTTGGCTACATGCAGGATCCAAGCGTGCCAAAAAGCTACACACCTCTCTCAGAGCTTCTCCTTACATACAGGAAGCAGACCACATCCCTAAGGCAGCTACTCAGCTGCTCACAGTAGACTCCACCATGGAGTTAATACCTGTCTTATCATGTGGAATACTACATCCAGCTGCCCAGCCACTCAACCAGGCCCAGCCAAGTTGACACAACGTTAACTACCACACCCCCTTTTACGAATGAGGAAACTGAAACTCAAGATTGAAAGACCTGCCCAGAGGCAGACGTAGGTGCTATAGCTGGAGTACAAAATTCTAAACAAAATATTAAAAATCCAAATACAACAATGTACATATAAAGGAAAATCAGTCATCTCTAAGTTTTATGATGTGCATGATCCAGAAATTCAGACTTTTTACATTAGAACGTAAATAGTTAAGTACATGCCTAAGGCATTTGACTGCTAACCAGAAAGCTGGCGGTTCAAACCCACCATCCGCTCCTCAGAAGGAAGGCTGGGCAATCTACTTCTGTAGAGATATTGCCTCAGAAATCCAAGGAAGGGTCGCTATGAGTTGAAATCAACTCAACAGCAGTGACTTAGGTTTTTAGTTTGACAGATTAAAGGAGAAAAATCCTATGGTCACCTCAATAGTGCAGAAAAAGTGTCTGGTAAAATTCCCATCAGTGATGAGACTTTTCTAGGCAACGAAAAATACAAAGTGGCACCTTAGCCTGAGCAAAACAATCTCCAGAAGCCCCATGACAGACCTGGAGGGGAGGTGGGGCGAGCTTACCTCCGGTATCAGGAAGACAAACTTCCCGACTCTGTTGCCTTTTGTTGTTGGTGCCGTTGTTGTTGTTGTTGTTATGTGCCATCGAGTCGGACCCGACTCAAAGCGACCCCTCCTTGGGTTGCCAAGGCAGTATCACTATGGAAGTAGATTGCCCCATCTTCCTTCCAAGGAGTGCCTGGTGGGTTTGAACTGCCAGCCTCCTGGTTAGCAGTCAAGTGCCTTAGCCACTATGCTACCAGAGCGCCCACTGGTGCCATTAGGTGCCGTCAAGTTGGCTTCTACTTAGAGTGACCCTGCGTACTACAGAACGGAGTGGCTCAGGGTGACTCTGCGGAAAAAAGCACTGCCCAGGCCTGCACCATCCTCACGAGCATTGTGATATTTGAGCCCACTGTTGCAGCCACTGTGTTGGTCTGTCTCGTTGAGGGCCCTCCTGTTTTTTGCTGATCCTCTACATTACCCAGGAGCTCTGGTAGCATAGTGGCTAAGACACTTGCCTGCTAACCAGACGGCTGACAGTTCAAACCCACCAGCCACTCCTCAGAAGGAAGGTTGGGCAATCCTACTTCTGTAGTGATACTGCCTCGGAAACCCAAGGAGGGGTCGCTA